GCAGTCTAATTGTCTTAGGAAGGCTTCTACTTACCTTGTAGATGACCTTGAACGCAGAGTCTGTCTTGATTGAGTGACCTGTGTTCACAAGGTGTTCGATTATAGAACTTCTTATTGAGCCGCTGCCTCCTCTTCTTAGCCACGCCGGACAATGTTCTTGAATTCTTTTGGATAAAGTACGCATCGAACGACCTATATACCTAGCTCCACAAGAGCAGGTAAATTGGTAAATGCACATTGAGTTGGTCAGATGCGATAATTTATCTTTCAGATTATTGGTGAACAGTGATCGGCTGGAGAATAATATTTGCAATGTTGCTGCGAAGAATGTTCTTTTTAAAGAATCTGAAATTCTCCTCTTTAAGATATATGCGGCTCTATCACCTTTGAAGTCGATGTTCATGTATAAAATTTCCTTTTCTACTGCAATTGTTTGTGCTCTTGGCATTTTCGGTTTCATGTTCTTATCAATGAATATAGAATGATATCCGTTTTTTATAAGAATCTCTTTTAAAAAACTCAATTCTTCCTCTACGACCTCGGGGCTACAGATTCTTCGTATTCTTGTGGCGAGAGTTATTATTAAGTTTCTTTTTCGGCTGATGGGAACCCAACTGTGGAAATTTGATAGTTGGCCATTCCACATGGGTTTCCTGTAGATAGATCTTTTTAAAGTACCATCTTGTTTCCTTGTTATATCTACATCAAGGAAGTGAATATTTTGCTTGTTTTCAACTTCAATTGTGAATTTTATTGATGGGTGACAATTATTAAATGTATTTAGGAGATCACTTAAGTTACATTTGTTATCACAAATGATAAAGATATCATCCATATACCTTTTATATAAGTGGAGGTTTTCTATAATTCTTTTAAGTTGGTTGTTTTCTAAACTGGCCATGAAACAATCTGCCAGTAATGGACCAAGTGGGGATCCCATTGCTATACCATCCTTCTGTCTATGAATTACGTCGTTGAATGTGAACTGTATATTGCAAGTACAACGTAGTAATAATTCCTTCAAATAAACCTCAGGTATCCCAATGTTTATCTCAGCATTGTTTATGTACTTACAGATAAAATTAATGGTTTCTGTGAGTGGAAGATTAGTGAATAATGATTCCACATCCAGAGATAGCATAATTTTGCCACTTACATTCACTTCTTTTATGTGCTCGATAAATTCAAAAGTATCACGTACAGAATGTTTACAAATGAGTTTTCTAACGGGTTCTAAGAGATTCGCCAACCACTTTGCTATAGGATGGTAAGGGGATCCGGACATATCGAGAATCGGTCTAAGAGGTAGGCCAGGTTTGTGTATTTTTGGCAAACCGTATAATCGCGGTATTATCGATGCTGTTGGTTTTATGTGCTCAAAGACCTGTTCGTTGATTAACTGCTCTTTTTTCATTTTCTTAAGGACATCAATTAGTTGCTTTTCTATAATTTCAGTCTTGTTTTTCTCATTGTTGGGTTTTGAGAATTTGGTGTCATCTGATAACAGCGTTGTCATTTTTTCAACATAATCCTTGCGATCTAGCAGCACTAAACCGGCACCTTTATATGGACGTGTTATGATCAAGTCTTTATTATTTCTAAGTAGTTTTGTCTGACTTCTATGTTCTTTTGTTAGTAGACTTTTGCCTGTTACTTTCGTGCTAATATATTGATTGCAGCTGTCAAGAAGAGTAGAATTGAAACGTTGGAATTCTTGATCAGAGATTGGATTAAGACCATTTGTTTGTTTGATTAAGTTTTCGAACTGAACATGTGTGTTGATTTTGTTAACTTTTTCATTTATGTCGCAGAATTTTATTCCCAAAGATAAGGCTTCTAATTGTACATTTGTCAACGATATTGAAGAATGATTAAACACATATCTCTCAGGGTTGTTAGGAAAGTTGTGCTGTGTTTCTGATAATTTTCCCTCATCTTTCATCAACTACTTTATTTATTGTAATTTAGATTTTATTGATTGAACAATTATTGGTTGAATAGCCGGCTGGTAATATTTTTTTAGGCAACGATTTACATTCAAATTTATGATGAATTATAGAACCGCTATTTACCCGATTACTTGTTTTGATTTTGACGGGCAAAGGCGCGTGTTTAACGTACCTAGAAGGCTATTCGGCAGTCCAAACCATACTTTGGATCTTGCAATGACTGCTATCGAAATGTACATTCTGACTACCCTTGTACATAATTATTGACTAGATATTCTGTGATGATTAAGAATATTTGAATTATAGTACAAACTGGGAATCCCGGGAATAGCACATTTTAAATTAGAAGTACCAGACGACTACGAACGAACATATTGTAGCTGGAATTCTAAATCAAGCAGATATCAAGTACAAAGGAATAATCAATTCAGAAAAACACGACACGTACGTTAGAGAAAAACGGGGTAAAATAAGTCAAATGCGAGAATAAACTTCGGATATTTTTCGTACACTTCTCACAGACAGACAGTCGGAGAGAAACGAAGAAAGAAAAGCGAGATGGAACGGGACAAAAGATGACGTCGAAAAGAAGATAAGCGAACCGCAACACGTGAGAGGAAGCGAGTGAGCCAACTCAGCTCAGCCAGGCTTGGCTCGCTATTTATACCTTTGGGTGGAACAATGAGGGGTTGGTCTGAAAAATGTGATTTATTTGCGCCATACATTTCGAACAATCTGGTTACATATATACTTGTCGGGACATTTTATATGAAAATTAATAAGGTCAGTTAAATGAAAGTTCAAGTTAAAAGTGACAAAGAGGAAAGAAACAATTTTACATCATATAGAAATAATAAGAAATTGTCGCGTTATCCTAGGCCATACAATGACTTAAGGATTATCAAGGTAAATTCAGGATTACGACAAATTGTTTTTGTACACATAAAAGGGGTTTAGATTTCAGAATAGCCAAGGCTTCAACAAACTTGAGAATTCGTACTTGGCAATTTCTACACAGCTTTCGAAAAGGTGTATTAATGTCAATTTTGTGCCCCGTTTCAATCATATGTTTTTCTATCGATGAACCTGATTTTCTACCTCACACGTTAGTCGATCAATCATATCCAGGTAAAAATAAGTTAAAAACCCTCAGTGAATGGGGTAAGCAATTAACGCATATGCGACCTTATGAAAACAGTTCGAGTTAATTAGCATTTAACCAACTAGCTCAATTGTGGCTTGAAAAGAATGAATTAGCTGATCTATTCAGAAGCTAGAATAACCTATATGGACTTTATATAGTACCAACAACTACAAAGATCCAATTATGAGATTTAATAACAAAAACCAGCTGCAAAAGAAGTCCGTCTTAATTACCCGCACACCCAGTATGGTGTGCGGAAATTCTACAAACAATTGTTAAATACAGAGGTCTTATCACCTTATATAATTTTTTCAGACAGGTTTCAAAATTGTCCCAACTACTATATCGTCGCGATAACATAATATCATTGAAGATTTGTCTTACAGCTCGTCAAGTACTCAGAAACCTCCATCAGTGGACGACGCCACTGGATCGTGGCGGAAGAGGGATCTTTGTTAACTGAGATCAAATCGTTTACGTCTGGAGTTCCGTTTCTCGCACGGAGTAGTGAATTACTGGAATTCCCTACCGGAACACGTAATATCAGCACCTTCTGTTAACATATTCAAAACGAGATTGGACCTCCACAGTATTACAAACTGCAAGGATTAATATAGGTCGATAGACCTCCTATCCTTATTACTGAAGACTGAAGTGATTCATTTTCGGTTGTTATCTCTGAAACATTTGTTTCATAACATTTACCACTTATTATTTAACATAACATGTTTTGTAAGAGTTATTTTTTATTGATTTGCCTTACTCATCAACATACACCTCGTCTTATTGAGTTAATCATTTTCTTGTACATCATTCGTTAATAAATCAAGAAGCGAATGAAAAGAAACTATCTGGTTTGCAATTTCCAGTTCCAAGATTATTGGACTTAAAGCGCTCACTGTACGGACTTATGCGCTACTATTTCCCTTGATTTTTAAAAACGACCTTCCGCAACAGGTATCCTCAGACATATTACTTTTCGCTGATGATGTGAAACTTTGGAGAAAGATATGCAACCAATAGGGTATGCAGACATTTCAGGAGGATCTGACTCGACTTTAAAGTTGGGCAGACGATAACGGACTTACCTTTAGCACTTCAGTGTATAAAGTAGTCCATCTGAGACATGTTTCAGACTACAGCTTCAACTTAAGCGACTCCCCTCTAGAAGTATCTCAAAAGATTTAGGAGTGCTGACACGCTACGATTTGCAGTCTTACGCCAACTGCAGTTAGCGTCACATGTGACAAAAGTGCCTTGCATTAGTCAAATTGAAGCGCTTTTTAGCCAGTTTGACGGAAAATTTTTCAATATAATCTTTAACAGTTTCATTAGTCACCATTTAGAGTACGGAAACATAGTATTTCCTCCCCCACTCCGAAGGGATAACGACACTGTGGAACGTATCCAACGGCAAGCCATGAAATCAGTTCGGGGACTCAAATTCAAGCCTTATGAAGAGTGGCTTCAATCACTAAACCCTTACCCTTCTAATGGCTTACAGCATTTTAACACTACTGGGCATTCTTTTAAACACCTGCTTAAGTTTAGCTTCAACACAAACTCAAGGGATAGTACCCAGAACCTGGAGACACAACACAGCAAAACGAACTGTAGACACAATTTCTATTCTTTAATAGTAATCAAATGCTGGAAGTCGCTGCTGATTGAGCTAGTCCAAACGACTTACCAGGAGTCTTTCAAGAGAAAACGTGACATATTCTTAAGGACTAAGGATAGTATCTTCCTATGGCTTACCAATTTCTTTTTCTTATTTTATCTTTAATATACATAGGTTCCTGCCTGGAGGTATTGGTGATCCACAGCTACTAGATACGGAGGTCCGTTCAGTGAAAGCTTCTATTCCGTCCATAACCACCTGAACCATTTATGTTTTACTAGTCGTAATGTTTGCAGTATTGGTAGCTGGAAGACCAGTGCGTTCAATTTTCATTCACATCAAAGTTTAGGTACAAACAAGTTTTAATAGAGTATCAGAGTCTCAGTTTCTTCTGGATTTGCTACCCTTAAATGATGTAAATCACATTGTTGTGTTTCTAACAGGAGAAACTGTCTTTCCGCCAAATATGGGTGGCGGGGGTAAGACGATATGATTTTTGCAGTAGTTTCTTTCTAGTTTACCTGGGGATTCAGCAAAATGGGGTCCCTAACTGGCACTTTCTTGGTGTTCTAACGAACGAGAAGCCTAGCGCGATATATAAAGTTGGCAAACTTGCTAAAAGTTAGTTTCATTCCTTCTCTTGTATTTTGTTCCATGACTTTTGGCTTTCATCAGTGCTGGAAGTAGTTTGGCCTTGTGTTGTCTTGATACTTTTACTTCTAAGTTGGTAACAGGCTTCATGTGGTAAAAACGTGTCAAGGTGTTCCTTTTCGGTCTTTCATTTCATTTGCCTGGAATACCGATTAGAGTTGGATTTTTCACATTGTAGCGCAATGTAACTTGGCTTTATAGCTCATTCCAACGAATATCAAAGTCTATTTACTTATCATTAAGTGCGCGTCAATTATGTAAACCAGTTAGTTGACGGAGCCCTAATAATTTTACTTAGATTTCGTTAAAGTACTATATACGATTCATGTGATGTACATTTGCGAACAGTGTGGAGAATAGTATCCTCAAGAATCCTCATTGAATAAACTGGACAAATTAGTCATTAAAGTATTATACCTGACTAGGTTTCTGGTCTTAAATAAATTATAGTATAACTTAACAAATATCTCGAAAATAGCAAATTTGGACATAATTGATGACTGAGTGTTGAAAGCTATTGAAGTGCGAAAGGTTGTTCCTTGAGAATCTCAACTACTAGACTACATCACTCAGTTTACTTCAGATATGTTGCATATTTCTTGCACAAACAATATAGCCGCAGATTCGTTGTGTCAGATAAATTCCTTGAACAATCTCCAAAGGGTCGACTTTAAGTTATCATGTTCATTATCCCTGACTCTGTGACCGACGACGAGTAAATTAAACAAGGGCTCCAATAAGAACGTTTCTGAATATATCTTTAAGCAGTAGAATTATCTAACACGAACAGTAGTAATAATCGGATTCAAAGTACAGTATAATCTGGTGGATAACTGAACTGAAATAGTAATAGTATTGGGTTTATATCGACTTGGAATTGTATTAATGTATATATGACGCAATAGAATATCGAGCAGTTGTACTGTAATTAATTAAATCCAGTATTACAATAGACAGGTCTAATCTACGTTGTACTAAAATGAATCCGAACTGTTGAATTCGTTCTAACATACCGCCTCTTACTCAAAACGAGGACTTGCTGCTTGAATCCCATATTCCAAATCCGACCTTGTACAGGTCTCCACGCTGATAGAGACCCATTTACAGATACTCATGTCATTGAGAAAGCCGTTTGTCCAGTTTGTGATTTCATAATGGGTTTCAAAGCTTTCCAGTTTTAATTTGGGACTCAGGTGACCTTGCCAAAGGCTCTGCTTAGATCTATGAGAATTACATCTACTGAAATATTTCTATCTTTCACTGCAGCCCAATATCTCAATGAACGACAAAAAGTACACAAGATAATCACTAATGTGAGAGTCAACTAAAAAGTACCACAAGATTGATTTGAAGATAATTTTAAATCTTAACCGAAATAATTTAAGTCAAAGTAGACCAAGTATGCTTTTGGTGCAATAAATACCTAAAAGCAAAGTTAATTCACAACAGGTACGAAAGCACTGGCTTTTTTTAAAGCACGCGCATGCTTTTATTAATAGATCAGTAGGTTAATCTAATACGATCAACAGATAAATTAATGGGCAGGCATATCACAAGGATACGTATACAAGCAAACATTATTGCCACACTGTCTTCGATACGTTGAACAAACTATCTTATCCAGGTGTGCAAGCAGCTGTCAAGCTCGTTGCAGAACAATGTTGCTGACCTAGTATGAAGACATGAGAAAATCGGTAAGGTCCTGTGTAGGTCACCATAAGTCTAAGACAGTAAATAATTCCCCCATTATCCCAACCTTGTTAGCATTGCTGGACCAAGGGACGACATGCTGTGAATTTTTTCTCTTGCTGTAGCAAGTCACTTTAGGATTCTCATGTTATATTACTTCTGCATATGGCGAAATACGTTTTTCCTCCCAAACATCCTTCTAGTTTTTTTTCTCAAGAAGACACTTGTTTACTAATATTTTCCGATTTCACCGTATATACGATACTTTCATGTACACTAAGTGAAGAAGCTTTATAGTAACCTTAGAGTAATGTCTGTCAGCGCTTTTTGGTTTAGTTTCTTAGTATCCTGCGTTGCTTATCGTTGAAGATATTGTATGAACTACATTAAAAGTTGTTGGCTAAAAGGACTTTTCTGTTCTTAACGTCTTTAAACGGATTAACAGATAAAACAATCATCAATAATCTAAAACAAAAAAGTATTACCTTCGAAAACATTTTTATGATTGTTTCAATTTTATAATTGGAAAAGTCGATAAACAGTATTTAATTTTATCTTCGAATAGAAAAGCTTCAACAGAATCAAAATCTCACCAGGTATTTCTTGCAGTGATATCAATCGCTCCAGAATCTGTGGTTTATCATCAATAAATGCAATCTTCAGTTCAATCAACAAGAGCTATAATCGGCAAGTATGTTTGATATGTAAAGTAAAAGGAATGATCAAATGGTAACACTTGGATAAGGGTGATTTAATTTTTTGGTATTACATGATACCAACCAGTCATCAAATTCGACACATCAATTTTACGTGCTCCACACCTCTGTATTAATGGGCTTGCACATACTTGAATCTGTAAATTTTTTTCAATCTGCAGAAACTTTTACAAAGTGATAGTGAGTGACTTTAATCACATTTTATGCAGTGATGATTAGTTGTTAGTAATTTTTAACGATTAACTAGTTTCGTTCTAGTAAAAATTAAAGTTCTAATTTTTATTTACTTTTGAAGATGCACAGCTTCAAAATGTTATACACCCATTTGGCACTAATGCCTCTTTTCAATGCTCAAATGGAGTCGTACCTGCTCAAATAGGAATTTCTGTTGATCTTTTAACAAATCTGCCACAACAAACAGAAGAAATCACTCCTGAATCATCAGTTTCTGCTGATAAGATGACTCAGTTCACTCGATTCGCAGCTGAAAGTTTATTTAATTATGTTGCTAGTTTTGCACGTGATAATTCAACATCTGATCCTCTTGTACCAATGTCAGCAATTAAAAGATGGTTTGATACTATGTTACAGAAACTCTCCCTTGATGCATCGTTTTGGCGAAAGTGAACAACTTTATACATTATTTTTGATTCTTTTTTAAACACTGATAAAGTACTACGCCTCGTTATTTGTTCCGACTAAATTATCCATCAAAACAGAACGTATTCAACAACATACTGTGTACAAATTGTAATTCTAACCCAATGATGAAATAGCATTTAGTTAGTTACTTTTTTAATAGATATTAATTAATAGACTATTGCTATTGAATAACGTTCCACTCTCTATATTTATTTATTTTAATTCGGACAACACATTTAAGTGAATAATATTGTTTGCATTTAGATCGTCATCAGGCGTTACTCCAATATACATGGATATCTATAGGGGTATGTGAGGAAATCAGATCAAAACAATTTTAAGTTAATCATCATAATGAAATAGACCATGTAATTATCCGTAATAGATGAAAAGTACAGGTTGATGATGGTTAAAAGACTGGTGTATCAGTAGTGACTAGAATAATAAAGCTTCTAACCAATGGTTGAAAATAGGAAGTAGATCAGACTTGGTTAAATAGATCTTAAAATAATAACCACACAAGAGTTATTGAGATCATGTAATAAAAATTGTAAATAATCAGATAATGAAGAATACAAACGAAAGGTGACGAACGAGAAACAAGTACAAGATCTGGGCAAAGCATTATTAAAATTATTTACGGAGTCAAACCAACCCAAGAAAGGAGCAGGAGTGTCACGAATTTCTTCTGATTACATAAACTAGGGTAGTAGATTCGAATGCCTACAGCTTTTGTCAAATGTAGACGGGGTCAAGCCCCATTGGGGGAAACCTAAGTTGTGCGATTGACCACTTGAAACGATTTGGTTCTATCTACCGTATGACTAATCCAAACACTGGTACAAATGAGCACCAGAATAGATATACGCCACACAAACAAGGGAATGAAGTTGTGAAGTGATAGATGTAGGATGGATATGGTCAGAATAAGGAAAAATCATAAAAAGCAATTCAGTTCTTGGAAAAAGTGAGCAGGGATAAATCCCAGTTAGGGGGACGATTTACTTCTTCGAAGAGTGTAATAGAGAACTATAGCAAGATCGCCATTAGATTTCGTCCTAACCTATTTCTGATAATATCTTAAGCCACTGAGTTGCGTCATCTCTTTATGATTCTTCAGTATCCTATGTATGCTCTGTTGCATTAAACATCAGGTATTGGTTAAAATGATTATTTTTTTGGCATAGTTGACTAATAGTTAGTCAAATTAAAAGGAACGACTGACTCAGCCAAATTGTAAAACAAATCTATAGCTCATTTGAATAAACATTTTGGGATTCCACACCAACATTCTCAATGATGAATCAGTATTTTGATGTTTCCCTAGTAAAAGTAGGATTTGATTGGATATTAAGTAAAGGCAGACGAGTACTAAGCAAATAGACTATTACTGTATATGAAAAAGAATTATACTTCCATTATATTCGGATTTTACATTGTGACTGATGCGTATTTCATCCCAATGAATTGTAGTTCTGATCTGTTGGCTGATTTACAATTGCTGGTCATGGATAGGGAATATTTCTATACCATCTAGCCAATTGTTTTGATTATCTAGTATCGTGGTCTAGCGTCCCCAGTCATACTATACAGTTGATTATCTTGTATATTGTATCTGAATTATTATCGCAGACGACAAAATAATTTAACTTCCATTATATTTATTTCTCAGCTGCCACCGTTAACACCAATCGAATTACCATAGGTAAGCATTCAGTTGATGTCACAGGTAACATAATCTACATTTCAAATAAATAAACATTATACTGGATTCCTATTACGATACATAGGTTATAAACCCCTTTAGCTGTCTGACTAGCCAGTCTACTCCAAAGTTCCTATCACTATCCACAAGACGAAACGTTAGTACAAATAAAAGGAAAATGAATGGGATTTTGTTAGCATGGTCACTTGGTTGCTAGAAGTGAAAGGTGACACCTCTCTTCTAAAATCTTAATTACCTATTCCTGTTATTCCATACATTCAGGTGACCTTATATACTGCTTTTCTATTATTGTTTCTATAACGAATGTGGAGTTACGCGTTGTGATTAACAATTAGAAATCTGACTGTATATCTTACACAGGAATCACTGATAATTTCATCCGATGCAAGCAGTTTCTTAAGCGTTTCAATCTTATTAAGTTGTTCACATTTAAGTTTTATGCACAACAGCTCTTAAAATACAGTGTCTTCTACACAACATTTAGTAAATTATTAAGTAAATCCCTATGTGCAGTTAAAACCCTAATCCAGGTTCTTCAGCACTCATAAATTACGAATCTATAACGTAAGTTCACAAACCTTTAATAAGCTGCTCATTATCATGTTAGGGAACCTCCTTAACATTACTGTATGTCATTGGCGAACTCCAAGTTTTAAGCTTTCATGATTATTTATCTCAGTAATTTCTAGCACTTAAGTAAACTTTTCTCGCTTATTAACTTGATACTGATGAAGTAATGTTAAGTGTACCAGCTTAAAATGTTCAATATTCGAGTCAAATCCTGCATTATTTACAGTCTTTTTTGATTGAATCACCTTAAAAATAAGCTTTACTTTGTGCCTAAGTCAATAAATGTTTTGAAGAAAGTATCATCTATAGACAAGCTTGAGAGAAATTGAAAATGACCATATGATTATAAATTCACTTCCAGCCACTGAGCAGAGTTTACAGATATCACAAACATTTCGCAACAGAAATGATGAAACATTACAGTTAAGTGGTTAAAGAATTGGTTTTCTAAGGTTTATTATCAACTTTTCGATTTAAGAATTCAGAAATATCGCAACATAACATCATCAATCTAAGTATCAATTTATTCATAATGACGATTTTTTACTAAATCATTCTTATACCTGCAAACTTCTTAGAAAACTTATCATCGCCTATGAAATCCTTATTAATAAATCCGATGAAGAATTCTGAATAGACAACTATAAGAGTACAATCTTTGTCTATATCAATATGAAGTCATGAGTAAAAATATTGATCTATTTCAACATTCCTGACTCACTAGGTCGCCCTTTATTCGATGAGGCACTAACAAAACAATTTCTTTCTGGGTTTACCACAAAGTTTATGTGTAAATTTGTGAGTTCTCTATACGTTTGACACTATTACTTTTACTCTGATTACAAAAGTTTTCACTAGCCACTCTAAACTTTCTGAGCACTATAAAAAACTACTTAAACTGTTCATTTTACTTGAGGTAAGTCAAAAGTCATCCATTTTGAGATTTAGCGTAAAAAACCTGATAGTCATTTTCTTGACTCTCACTGGATCATTCCTATAATATAATTCTATCGATATTTTATAACGATCCAGTTAAAACAAGTTTTTATTTAGTTCTTGTTTTAAACAATTCACAATATCACTGACTTCTGCCATTGCCCCAATACCAGTCTCTCCACAAATTAACGTCTTCTGAACAGGATCTATGCATTTCCAATGAAGTCTACCAACTAGACGTTCAATTTGTTCATGAGTAAATGGATGCTGCCACATTAAAGTATTCATAGCAGGAGCAAAATATACTGGTTTATTGATAATGTTTTGTTCATTGGGAAACCACCATGCACGTACAAGTGTTGTAAGTAGATTATCAGCTAGTCCATACGCCACCTTTGCCATTGTATTAGCACTCAATGGAGCTACTAGTAGTATATCTGCCCAATTTCTAAGCTATAATAATAAAGTCATTAGAATCAAATAATCATAAATTCATACCTCAATATGTAACACAGGATCACCACGTTTTTTCCATCTTGTCCATTCGTCTATGTCTTTGTACACAGGGACACTTACAGTGTCTACCGAAAAAAAGTTAAGTGAATTGTCTGTAACAACTAGACGAACTTCAAATCCTATTTCTAGAAGTTGTTCTATTAAACATGGTATTTTGATTGCAGCAACACTACCAGTAACACCAAGAATCAATTTGTTTCTTAGTAATTTGTTTTCATTCATCACTAGCAAGTAGAGAGAAGAATGATTTAACTAATTACATTCCCCAAAATGATAAATCAGACATGAGCTACTACCTCGTACAGTTGCAAAGAGCGTCTCCGCACATCAATGACTATACCGATTATGTAATTCACAACATAGCACTTCAGAGAGACTAGCATATATTTGTCGGATAATTTAGAGATCGGACTTAGTGAAGTTCACAAAATATGAAAGTGATTTGTTATTGTCTATTTAGAAAGAAATGGAAGTAATCCACAGCTTACAAACAACCTCAAAAGAAGCTCAGAAAAATCCGGTGTTACTCAATACTATTCCGAACATAATTAACCTTCCAAGAGGTAGAATGGATCATGATGTTATTCCAATTGAATAATCCAGGTTCACTAAATGTTTAAATATCTCCGTGTCCTTCACTGTTAGGGATGCTGAGGAATATACCAATCATTATCATGTTAAGTCTAATGATGTCCTTGGACTCTAAATGGGCATTCCCTATTGGCCATTATTTATTTCACTCGTTAAATATTGTACAGATGTTGTTTTCTATTTTTACGGTACGATGTGGTCTGTTTGGTTGGTATATAAACGGAGTATGTTTGAAATATAACGATTCATAACTCAGAGGATGTGACTTGCGTTCTCAGTCAGTCAGTAACAACGTAGAACTCCGTACGTACGTACATCAGTTCGAGTTGCCACACCACATTAGCACAGAGATGCAGTTGTCGATTCAAATCCCGTAGTGGTAGAGGTAGTAAGAGTATAAGCAGTAATCGGAAAGATTAGGGTTTGGAGATGTTATTCAAGGGCTATAATCCAGTGAAATAAATTTGGAAAGAGGAAAAAAAGGACATGAAGAATTCAGAAGATTAGAATTTGGGAGAACACAAAGAGTGGATGCACCTGCGCCATTGCAAACGATTTTGAGCCATGTCATTCAGGGTCCCTAACCATCGGTTGCTATCATCTCGCGGTCCCCAACCAGGTAGTCTACACCTACCAACATAACTCAGTCCACTTGTCAGTGACTTCATGGACTTGTGCCATGTTTTGGTTTGGCCGCCCCTAGCTTTCTTCCAACCTACCCCTATACCACTGAACATAACACGTCGAGGCAGTCGGTCGTTGGGCATACGTAACGCGTGTCCCAGCCATCTCAACTGATGAAGTTTCACTACTTCATCAATAGATTTGCCATCCTTACCTAGTACCCATTTCCTAACAACTGCGTTACTCACTCGACGGTCCCAGGATATCCGAGCAATGTTTCGAAGACACCTATAATCGAATACTAGTAACCTATGAATATCCTCTACTCTTACCGACTTGCGTTCTAGACTCAACTGGCTGGGCTAGACAGGGAAGCGGGGCCAATCGAGACTCTAGGTCGTCCTTACGTGTCACTGATTCGATCGATAAATACGCTGCTTATCAAAACCTGCAATCCACACGTTACAACATTCACTTTTCTAAATTTTCGCATGTTATGGTGTTATAAGGTTTAACAATGTGAGCTGATGTATACTTGTACCATGTTCTATTTCGATAGTGGTTGGTTAATTTAAATCTCTGCTTTAATGTCACTATTTTCAACACAGGATTGACTAAATAGTGGAGAGGTGTAGTAATGGTTAAGGCTTTCGACTTTCAGCTACTAAGTCCAAAGTTAGAATCTCACTTTACCTGCTTTCATTTGGGAAATTTGATAGTATTACTAGCCTTCACACATCGAGTATAGCTTAAAGCTAAGTGCTTGGAGGATGAGTCGAAATTCGCCTGAAAATAAGCATCGCTTAAATTGTAAACATATAATTAACGTTTATTTCCTCCGAATTCCAGAAGTAATTCACTAACTAAAGTCAGCAGAGAAATACTTTCGATCGATAATATTTTAGAGAACCGATTTCACTTATCTTGTATTATAAATACTCATTTGAATTAGTATTATTCATGTTACTTTGTGGAATCATCTTAACTAGCATAGTACAGAATCCCAGTTATCAATTTATTTAAGAAAAAAAAACTAGTTATAACACTGAAAAGATAAGACAATAATCGTGAGAAGCAACAAAACACATTGATTTACACCCATGACAAATTACGATGGGAAGCATATGCTCATAAAAGACAATAAACCAATTCCACTAAAAATAGAAAATGTATAAATCTGCTAAATAGTAATTTATTTATACAAACTTTGATCAAACAATACAAACCATAATTACTAATTGTAGGATTGAAAATGTCCAATAGTAAATCAAAATTTAAGGCACATACATGACAGAGTGAGAGACAGAGCTTAAGTTTGGTAAGAAATGAACCTACGACTGAGTTCACAAGTCATACGTAATTTTTTTAGAAATTAAGCTCGGTGGTTTTATCAAATAAAACAAAATACGGGTAGGGTAATAAAAGATTTCGACTGTGGAGAAGAAGGAGAGCATGATTAAGAGTATGGAATGAAAATCACCTACTGCTCTTTTATGTATACACAAAACAACCTGGTGAAAGAAAACTGTGTACTATAGATATACAGAATAACAAATGATCGGCCACTCGATATATATATATATATATATATATATATATATATATATATATATATAATACATAGAACGGGACTATGGCAGGATCAACAAGGACATTGGACAATTAATATTCAGTTTGAATGGCGAGGATTTTAAAATAAATCTTCAAGATTCACTGAGGCAGGTCCAGCACGTTTTGTGTATCGTCTATAACGTTTTAAATCAGTATCTTCAGCTGCTCGAATTCGATTTGCTTCTTGTTGATCTGCAAGAAATTTCTGAAATGGATATAGAAAATTATTTTTTTAAGATTTAAATATGTATCTATGTAAAACTGCGGGTGAGGAAAGTCAGCTCCTCCTCTAACAATGCTCTAGCATGACCACGCATATACAACCACTACCAGGGAAGACTTACTTACTGCCTTCTCATGGACAGTGTGTAGTTTACACTATTGAAAGAACGAAAAGCGGATGTTCCAAGCTTAAGCCGAGTTGTTGGGGACAGAGAATCCACCTAGGGGAGTTGCAAAACTCTGATTCGAAACAAATGGTGCACATGAGCCCCATAATCTTGAAGGGAAAATGGCGTATGAGCTTATTGTTAGTCGCCTGCTTCCATGGGACTGCTATCTCCTAACGTTGCTTCACTGATTTAAGGATTAGACCTCTAGGTCAAAGGCTCGGGGAGTGGGCTTCCTAAGAAAACCACTCGTTTTGGTTCGGGAACTCGGACAGTACACAAAAATTGAATGTCAACAACTTCGTGTAGTACATATACATTTTGGTGGCACTTTGTACCAATGTGTTTAAATAAAACATGTGATTAGTAATAGAATTTAGCATTAGACGGTTTTTATTCATTCTAAGACTGAACGTTATGCGAGTCAACCATGAAATAGTTTTAAAAATAATGAATGATCAACGAATGAAACATGTCAAGAAGTAAGTAGGATCAGTCGCATCAATAAACTCTTCTAAGGAGAACCTAGTTCACTACAAAGAGACTTATCCTAGAACTTAAAACAAGTAGAAAAACACAACTGTTAACACAAGTAGCCAACTGACCTACTATGCTCGTATTAATGAAAAACCGAACGCACACTTCCCGCTGGCTTTTTACACAGAAGTCCATCTTGGTTTTTGGCAATGACAAAAAACATTTGACAGGTCAGAATTAAATATTTCTTATCTGTTGATTAACAAGTGTGAGTTTATCAGGAAGCCAGGGTGACGAAAAGAGCCTGTCCAAAAAACATTATCCTTGTACAAAAGATAGTAATCTTCGTGTGCACGTCTAATTTATTATTTCTGCGCATCATGACTACTTTCGCGAACACTGCAAAAGCGATATAAAATGGCTATTGAATTTCAATTCCCATTAGTTGCTTCCGAAAAACCTTCACCAACAGCTATTATTCACTTGGATTACTAACCACAGTGCATCTCTTGTTCGACAAGGAAATTAGGAACCATTCAATAGATACTCCGCTTAATTAGCTCAATTGGAACAGTGATCAGTGGCCATTGGATTAAAAAATATGGAGCTAGACAATAATCCAGGAAAATAAATGCTTCCACATGGATAGAAAACTTGAGACTAGGGTAAGGGCTTAACACACTGAATGCCTACAACGATATAAATCATTTACCAAATATAGATCTATACACTCGCTTTTTAGTCACATGTCTTGTGTGGAACAACTAATAATACAGTCTGTCTATAAAAAACAAAACACGAGAATAGTGGGGTACAGGTGTGTGATCTAAGGGCTGCCAAACCAAGATATGACATCAGTCCATGAAGTTAGTGACTACTAGATTGGAATGTGTTGGTAGGTGAAGACTACCATATTGATGCCTGCGAAATTATTACAATGAGTGATTAGAGGACTTTAGATGACACGGTTTAGAATTGATCGCGATGGCACAAATGTATTCATTTTCTGTCTCATATTAGATCACGAGATTTGGAATTTTCGTTTTCCATTCCAGCAATTCATTCTTTTTGTTCGAATTCCCACTCATAATGATACTACTTATACTACTCTAGTATCTGTCTTGATATATGGGGTATTGACTCGAATAGATGTACCGATGTTTGACTCATTATGAACTACTAGTTTGAAGCTGACTGTTTCGACCACTAAGCTATCGGTTCACTGATTATGATGACGAACATAAAACGTACACTCGTTCAACACACTGTACACCAAAAATTCTCATTCGACTTATTTAAGTAACAAATCAATAGCACATTGAATTAGGAAAAACTACAAACCTGATAATTCTCATTAATCCAAAGTTTTTGTGATAAATACTTTGCTTGTTGTTCTTCGCCTGCATAATCCCATTCACTCTCATTTATTTTTAACCGACGTCTAGTGATAAATATCCGTGCCTCTTCGTCATATTCCCTACGAAGTATCCAATACTTTACAACCCAATAAAGCATCCAACGTAACCATATATAACAAGTCCAAGGGAAAAACAATATTCTAACCAGTAGGACACGTTTTAGGCTGGGTCGACAACAATCACCTCTGAAATGAAATACAAAAGAAAAAAAAGAAACTCTCCTTTGAGTGACCAATTTAACGGGAAAAAATGTGCTCACCAATAAAAATATAGTGTTAGGTTTGTTTTATCACTCTACTTCCTTCTGTGCATCGCTCTATACTACTTATTAATATTCAGTAACCCGTTCCATTTCTGATAACTTTTGAGCATATGGTGCGACGTATATGTCATCATAACATTCGTGAGTATGGACACACGTTGACAATATTCACTTTATTATTTTAATTGTATCCTCTTAATACTTGCAACAGATATTTTCGAATTTTGCTTTATGATAACAGTTTCTATATTTTGATTCTCTTTATTCTCATTTTGACATCATCTGCCATTATGATCCCGACACAGCTATTAGCTGTCACATAACGTATGCTGTTATGACTTCATATATCCATTTTAATAAGCATTTTTATGATCGTCTACGAGCTTAGTAAATACTGTAGAGATCTTATATAGTTCCGTAATTATAGTGCCATCTTTACAGACAGTCTTGAGTTTTGGTTTGTCAAATTTGACAAGTCACTTAATCGTGCTGTTGAAGCTTCGATGAGGAAATAACATTGAAAATTAAATGAAAAACGAAACGAATAACTGACTAGAACATCAGAAGATCTAGAATAGAAAACTAATAGGTTTCAATTCGTTGGATCATTTCATCAAAACGGTAAGAAAACTAACTATCAGAATAATGATTAAAACTAATCATCTTAACAACCACTGAGCGACAGATTCACACTTTAAAATATACAGTACGTATCTCCTGTACCATCAAATCTGATGTTGGATGAAACAAGAGTCGAACTAAAGGGGTTCCTAATCAGATCACTGCAAAATAAAATCCTAATTTATTAAAATACGAGAAGGCAGTGAGTAGAACATCCCTCGCAGAGGCTGTACACGCGTGGCCATGTGAGAGAATTTGGAGAGGAAGAGCTAACTCTTCACACTCTCGGTCGTACCACGGCATTTGAACGTTATGAATGAAGAACATTGTACCTCAAATCTGTGTAGATGTAAAAATATAACATTTTATACTTAACCATATTCTATCGTTTTACTAACTTTTATGTACGATGCATTTTGCTGTGACATAAAATGTGAGCCCTGAAAAGAGAAAACATAAGTCAGTCAGTCAGTCAGTCAGCTACAACGTAGGACCAGGCACATATGTGCATCGGTCCAGGTTGCCATACCCCATTAGCACAACAAGATGAACACCGGATTCATAGCAGTGGTTAGGTCAAAGGTGGTAATATATAAGACAAAGATAGCATATAGAGATATAGTACAAGAAGAAAGAATTGGTTCGTAGAAAGAAAGATATGAAGTGATTTTAATCTCTTAGTTTAAGGGAAGACAGGGAGTGTATACACCGACGCCATTGTGATCGATTCTGAGCCATGTCACCAAGAGTCTCCAACCATTCGTTACGATAGTCACGCGGACCCCAACCAAGTAGTCTGCATCTACCAACATGGCTCAGACTAGAAGTTAGTGACTTCAAGCACTGATGCCACGTTTTGGTTTGGCCGCCCCTAACTTTCTTCCAACCATTTCCAATACCGGATAGCATTGCACGTCGTGGTAATCGGTGTTCAAGCATACGTAACACGTGGCCCAACCATCTCAGTCGATGAAGATTCATAACCTCATCAACTGATTTACCATCATTCCCTAATACCCTGCGTCTAACCTCACTATTACTTACCCGGTGATCCCAGCAGATGCTAGCAATATTTCTAAGGCATCTGTGGTCAAATACTAATAGCTTACGAGTGTCTTCTACTCTTAATGGCCATGTTTCGCAGCCGTAAATTAAAACAGAACGTATACTCGTCCTTTTATTGATAGACGGATATCTCGCCTTCGCCAAAGGTGACGCAAGTTGGCAAAAGCCAGTCGAGCTTTTCGAATCCGTGCTGAGATTTCGTCCGATACCAACCCATTAGAGCTGATCAGACTTCCAAGATAAGTGAAGTTGTCAACGCGTTCGACTACTTCACTCCCTATCCTTAGTTCAGGTGTTGACGCAGACCAGTCCTGTAGCAACAACTTGCATTTAGAGGGAGAGAAGCGCATTTCAAACATCCTGGCATTGTTGCTCAGTGCTACCAGAAGACTCTGCATTTTGTCAGCGTCTTCACCAAACAGGACTGTCATCTGCGTATTCTAAGTCGATAAGTGGACCTCCTGGTAGGAGATCAATACCCGAGAACTCAGTCGACGAGAGTGTTATTTCCATCAGTAGATCTATGATGAAGTTAAACAAAAATGGGGAAAGTGGACAGCCTTGACGGACACCACTTGAGGTTGCAAAAGTAGATGACAGTTCGCCATAAGCCCTGACTCGACTAGTAGTGTTCGAGTAAAGAGCCTTCACAAGGTTTATGTACTTCTGGGGTACGCCTTTTAATGACAGACACTGCCACAGAATCTCGCGGTCTACCGAGTAAAATGCTGCTTTTAAGTCGAGAAAGACCACCATTGTCGGACGCCGATAAGTATGCCTGTGTTCTAGAATCTGACGAATGGTGAATATGTGGTCGATGAAGCCACGACCAGGTCTGAAGCCAGCTTGGTTCTCTTGTGTTTGCAGTTCACGAGTCTTAGTTAGGCGTCTGATAATTATCGAGGCTAGTATTTTAGATATTATATTAGTTAAACTAATCCCTCTGTGGTTGTCACAGGATGATTTTGACCCTTTCTTATATATTGGGACGATAAGTGATTGCGACCAGTCAGATGGGATAAAGTCTAATTCCCAGATCTTAGCTAAAATATTAGTCAACCTAATCGCTAAAATTGGACCACCATCCTTAAAGACCTCTGGAGCCAATCCATCTGGACCAGCTGCCCTTCCTCGCTTCAGATTAACTATAACCTTTTGAACTTCAGCAAGAGTTGGGGGACCTACTTCAATGTTCCATTCACACTGTCTGGGAATGGAGGGTAGTTGTAGAGTAGCTGAAGGCCAGCTGAACTGTTCTCTAAAATGTTCCGCCCATCGTTCTAAACGTCTGGACTGGGAGCAGATGAGAGTATCATCTTTTTCCGATATAATCTCACTTACACTTGACTTATTAATTCCAGTTTCTTTTATTAGTCTGTAAAGCTGTCTTGTGTTCCCTATAGTCGCCGCCTTTTCCATCTCTTTTGCTTTCGTTGCCCACCACTGCTCACGGTCGTTTCTTAGACTTTTTCCTAACCTAGATCTGATTTGTTGTCGCTCTTCGTCGTGTTCGGAACCTGATGGGACGAGTTTGCGAGAATCCATCAGTGTGACAGACCTTGAAGAAATCCACTGATTCCTTGCAACTCTGTGGTTTAAGTCACTAATAGATGTCACTGCTATTTCCACAGCTGATTGTATGCCCTTCCAAGCAACATCTGGGTCAGCCTCGTCTTCACAACTACCTAATCGTGACTTCAGTTGTTCCTGGAACCTACTTTTGGTTTTCTCGTTACTCAACTCAGTTCTAACGGGTCTTTTTAATGTGGCTTTTTTGCGTCCAGTGAGGCGCAAGCAGATGCGTGCCCGTATTAGGGCATGGTCGGAGTCCAAGCAGGTACTCCAGAATGAGCGACGATCTTCTACCGACCCTCTCCAACGATGACTGATGGCAATATGGTCTATTTGAGTCCATCGTTGGTTTGGTGTAGGGGGTCGCCATGTTAGACAATGCCTCTCCTTATGCTTAAAATTTGTGTTTGCTAAAAATAAACGATTGTCTGAGCATAGCTGCAGCAGACGATCACCATTATCTGTTCGCTGTGTCGGAATACTAAAATATCCACCTAAATGCCTTTCTGTTTGGTTTAAGCTACCTATCTGAGCATTAAAATCACCCCCTACGAGTACTATGTCTGAGCGTTTAGCTTTCTGAAGAAGTTCAGAAAGCCTTCTGTAAAATTCATCTTTCACTTCATCTGAGCTGCAGTCAGTGGGAGCGTAGGCAGAAACGACAAAAAGGCAACGACGTGTGTCCCTATCCTTCCGAGTTCTTACGGAGCAGTTTAGCCGAACAGCACATAGACGACTGTTGACGGGGATCCACTCTAGCAGTGCTTGTTCCGCCCTCATGCTTAGTACTATGCCTACACCTGCCAGTCCACGAGAACTGGCCATCGGGTCACCAGATACACGAAGGGTGTATCTCGTTGGCTCTCTGTTTTGCCGAGGTGAGGTCAAGTGAATGACCACACTGGAATCCTGTATGCGTGTTTCGGAGACACAGCATACATCAATGGAAAGAGACTCTAGGGTTTTAGCCAAGGAAGCATGCTGACCGATTTGACATAGAGTGCGTACGTTGAAAGCTCCAATGTGTAGTTTGGAGCGAGGTTTTAGTAGACCTGGGACAGAGTTTTGAGCACTAGAATCGTTGGCTATGGTGACACTTGAGGAGGAAGCCGAAGGAGTAAGTTTAGGGTTGAAAGTCGATGTAGGAGGAATAATGGGAATTGAAGAGGAAGGTTGATTATGAATACAGTGGTCTTGGGTGCTGTTAGAGGTATGAGGGCGGTTATCACTTCCCGGTTGCCCACACCGTGGAAGGGTTCTTCTGGAGGTACCTGAAAAGGAAATTGGATTAGAGGTGGTCTCAGTGACCTGAGAGCGTGACCGCAGTGCCCAAGGGACAACTGCTTGATGCCGGTCGCGCACGGCCTTTTCGTGGAAGGTTTTCGACGTGTTAGCTCCGTTCTTCAAAGAGCCTTACCGCCGGAGACAGAAATCCGTGAGGTAAGGTGAGGTGTGCATTTTTAGGGTCGACCTTTTCTAACCCCACCCCTCCTTGTGGGAAGGCAGCATCGCTGTCATGCTGGTTGTCTGAAGGAAACACCTTACTGCTGTCACACCTCTGTACAGTCAGCAGTACGACTTCGCCTTCGGACCTTGGGTTTGTTGCTTTTAGTCTTACCGCTCTTCAACCGACCTGTCTGACATGGTAGGACCTTGAGGAACGGTTGTTCCAGCCAGTATAGCTCGGTTGCTTTATCACGATAGGCAAGCCCGACCACCACGTCAAGGTAGCAACAACGGTCGGGCTTAAAGTAACTGGTCATAGGTATCTTTGAGATATTATTCGTAAGTGAGCATTACTAAGGTTACACGTAGGGGATACTAGGTCAAAGGACAGAGTCGATTGAAGAAGCTAAAAACTTTCGCTGACTAAAGTAGTTAGGTAATATTTGTTACATAAGCCCATCCACTTACTACTTTGACGTGTCATGTTACTATTAATAGACAGTTGAGGAAATATTAGAATTGGACACATGAGGCAATCCATGAGAACTTTAACTGTTTAATTGAGCCATGCAGACATCCTTGTTGTCATTATCTATGATTAGATATATTGGGTGACATGAAGAAAACATGAAGATGTAGTAGTATTTATTAATCTTTAGATTATGTATTATTTCATTTTCCACTCTTTTTATTACTTCACCTTATGCTTCTTTAAGATGGTATATTTCTTATATTTGGATATTTTTATTGCTGTTGAGGACATTAGTCCTTTGCGTGGATGAAGTGACGTGTGGTCATCTGAACTGCATTAAGGTCTTAAATTGACTACGGCTAATTGATAATCTTTCTAGAAGATAATATCTATTACGACGATAATAATTGAATGAACTTAAATTCATGTTATTTGGTCAAGTTTCATAAGATTAATAATCAATGATAATTATTACTTTATATATATATATATAAATTGAGTATTGATAAATCTATTAATTGAACGCTAAATCCGATTTCCTAATAATTTTAACTAACCTCAGGTTGAATCGATAATGCAACTTGAGTACAAGAGAAAAAGTTCAAAGTGTAAAATCAAAAAATTAAAAAAAAAACTGGTGATAAGGATCGACTGGACTCCAAAAATTAATTAAATATGATTTAGGAATACACCATCGTTACAGTTAGATTAACGGTCAGATTTTTCTAAATTGAACTGAGTTATATTTAATTCTTCTTAAGATGTGAACGAATAGTACACACGATTAAAAAAAAGAGTCAATTTCATATGATATTTGCATTCCAAACGATTAAGCAATTACTCGCCATATCTACATACAAAACATTATGAATTTTATGCATTTGTTTAAATGTGTAAAGAGAATTTTATTTATGATCACTAACTAGTAAGCTTTTATCAGTTAATTGTCATCTTAATACATTTAGACAACATTCAACTCAGAGAGAGCAAACAGGCTACCTACTTTTATCAAGAGAACACGATTGGTATAATGGAAACACTTATTATTATAACCAATTGTACCAGTGATTGTTTTACTGTACTTGTTTGTTTAACTGTACTAAAAACATACTTTCTTTCGTTGGCTATGACCTTGAACGCTCTCGGTTATGTTCAGTAGTTCAACTTGTACTGTTTGGTATGATCTCGGTATTCTTTCGATACCACGAGATTACCAACAAATATATCTTATTACAACCGTCAACCGCCTTATAGTTTTTCACCTACGAAGTAGTTTCAGTGCAGTGGGTGATCATAGTCAACGGTGACTCGACGCCACGCTACAACCCTACACATTTAAACCACATTCAATTCAAAGGGACCAAACAAGCTACAAACCTTCATTTCACAATAAAATCTCACTGATATGAGGTTTAACAAGTGTTAAAATACAGCTCTCTCTTTCTCTCTCTCAAAGATTAAAATGTTCTTTCTTCAGTCCGTGATAAGCTTTAATTTCTCTGCTAACTAATGAGTTATCTGATAAAAAACTGAAATTAATAATTAAAAATATAAACCATAGAAGGATATTTGGTTTATGGATTTTTGGATAGTTGCAGATAATAGGTGGAAAATTTTTAATCTGAGGCACTGCATAAGTTGAGCTGCCAATATCAGTCTACTTGCTCCTCAAAATATCCTATAAGTGTTCAGATCACTAATTTTCAAACACTAAAATATAATAGCATCTTTATCTTGAGATTCTGAACATTAAATATTCAAAATTTAATTATCTATTGTCAACATAGTCACCATTTTCATCAAGCCAATGTCATTATCTTCTATCGAATTTACCTGTGTCAAGTGTACTATTATTATGAAGTTTACTTTATGCAAATCGCGTACGTCAGCCAAGAATGTTGATCATTGAGATGGAAATATATGGAAATGATTTGTTAATTTGTGGGGTTACACTTAAACCAACTATTGTTATCAGAAACTGTAATTTTCAATCAAGTCAATGGTAAAAGTCCTTCATTAGCTTCGCCAGATAGATTCGGTTAAAAATAATAGAAAAACACGGATCCAGAAATAGACAGCTTCATTTCGTATCAAACTTGTTTGGTGTAATATTACAACAGATTACAAATATATTTCTCAGATGCTAAAGGAAAATATTTATAAACTTTCTTGTTTATCGCGGACGTCGAAAATGTACTCACATGGGTTGTGACACAGGGTTGTATTATTGCTGTCGCCAAATGTCGTGGTACGGCCAAGGGTGGGGAGTCCGCTCTCCCTCTCAAAATACTCTCACTTGACCACTTGTATACAACCACTACCACCAAGTGCATGATGGGAATAAAAAACACGAAAAAAGATAGGAATTTGTGCAAAATATGAATACAAACATACATATATTGAAACCCATTAAAAGTGATACGTATTACGCATGGAAAGAAGAAAATACCTGCAAAACAACCGTTACGAATCCAAGAAACAAGAAAAAAAGAAAAAGCGAAGCATCCAAAAGTGCATTAGATACAATGAAAACTAACCACTTTCAATTTATTTACCGAAGTTCAACAGTCTCCTTTAATATATCCCGAAGTAGTTGTTCCTCACGTTCTTTCAGTTCATCACGTGTTAAACGTCTGCCAACTTCATATTTGGATATATTTAAACGACCATCAGCAATAGCTATCTGTTTTGCTTTGGCACGATGCTTTGGATCTTTCAGTAAATAAGTTAATGCATGATTATAACTTGTCCATTGACCAGCATACTAAAAGAAATATAAACAGCAAAGTTGTAAGCATTTTTTCTCAGAAAAAAGAGGAATGATCAGTGAACGAACTGATATGACAGAGTAAGAATTAACCATGATAGTTAGACGTTCATTACAATAGACAGTAAATGATCCATCATTACTATAACATCTAATCATTTATTTATTAATTGTTAACCGTGTTTACTCCTATTATGTTGTGAGGTGGTCCGAGTCTGATACTTACATATACGCTTCACATATGTATTCCAAAACCAGTTACCTGAATGAGAAAATCAAGAGTGAGTAGAGAGCTTTTATTCGTTAACTGAATCGACAATGTTATGCACAAGTCACTCATAAATTTTAGTAGTTGAATTCGTGAGCCGATCTAATCTAGATAATCACTGCAAACCTGGAAGCACTAAACGGCTGTTTCTTCCTAGTATGGGGCTCAGCTGTGCAAATCTACGACCGCACATGCGAGACGCGAACCCAGGACCTTCAGTCTCCACCTCAAACAATGGATGAAGGGTTGCTCAAGATCATGAATCGATTGGAGTTAGACATTAACACTGTTGGATGCCGGTTCAATGGTCTGGAAGTTAAGCGTTCGCGTGTGAGGCCGAAGGTCTTGGTTTCGAGTCTCGCGTGCTGGGTCATGGGTGCGCGCCGATGAGTAGTCTTATGCTACGACGAGACGGTTGTCCAGTGCTTCCAAGTCTAGCTTAGGTCGACTCATAATTTTTATAATTTAAATTACTACAGTCTCCACAAGTCCCCATTTTGATGATTCATAAATATAGAAACATTTTACTCAAAAAATTAAACCACGTTTCAATCAATAGTGCATGCCTGTTTCCTCAGAAATTGACCAGTAGCGTTTCTAGCATTATTTGGTCTATCTGACTGGACCAGATTATCACCTTTATCTGTTGAAAAATAAATCTGTTTTGAATTCAATTATTGTGTTAAATACTTTGCATATAAGCATGTTAGTTTCTTAGAACAGAAAATATATTCTTTTAGTCAGCGGTTCCGCCTTTTGATTTGAAAACATGGGAGACTTATGTCAGATTTACTGAACATTATAACAGATTTACTACGGTGGAAATTCTTGGAAGAGCCCCAAAATATCCTTTGTCAAAATCTCTAAAGACCCAGAAACACGAGGAAACGTTTGAGTCAGTCGCCGTTGAGCAGGAGCTTCGCAGAAACATCTAGAAAATGTAGAATCACGTGTTGTGGTTTTGATTGAATATTTACCTATACTGCTACTATATTTAGTACGGTTCTATGAATTTAAAGAAGCCCAGGGTCATGTATAACTATAAATACCCTCATTTTTTCCATATATGAACTAACTTTAAGTAAAGCTTTTGCTCGCAGCCCGTTCATCCTCTCTGTTGTTCGAGGTGTCGTGTACGAGTAGTTTGGGTTATCAAAACCGGCTAGGAAGACAGTCTAGGCAAATCAGTAGCATGATTTATCAGAAATTAAGACGGTTATATATATATATATATATATATATATATATATATATATATATATATATTGCCAACCAATTAGAAAAGTCATGCACAACCAACAGGTCAAGAGAGGAAGAAAGAGAAACAAAATAAATATGCTGAATGTACACGGATACTGATGATGTTCACACTTAGATGTGAACCCAATAACCATTGGTTTTAAAAGATACAACTGTGAGTCATAATAATAAAGATACAGTTACAAGAAATATTACGTAATTAAGATGATGTTTATTTGTAAAAGAGGTGGTTTCTAGGGCTGTTATAGGTATAAAGGGGGTTATAACTTCTCGAGCGCTTACACTGTGGAATAATACTTTCTGAGGGACTTAATAAAAAAACTAAGTTAGAGGCAGTCTTGACGACCTGAGAGTATTTAATGGCCCAAGATGTGACTCCAGTTCGGTCATGTGATTACCGTTATTGAAATAAACATGTCGACAATTCTCGTATATAGTCAACGACCCAAAAATCGTGCTAGCGGATAACGGAATTAAATAAGTCCAACACGAAAATGGATTTTGAATACGCATATTCTGTACAGTCGTCGGTCGGAAAGAGAAGCAAAACAATCACCAACTGCTTGAGGCCGGTCGCGCACACACTTTTTGTTAGTACTTTTAATTGTTACCTCTGTATTTTTTAAGAATTTACGGCCATTTTTAGGATCAGCCTTCTCTAGCTAGCTCCTTTAGTTGTGGAAAGACAGTATCACCCCCGATGATGATTGTTTAGAGGGACCACTGAACTGTTGTCATGCCTCCGTACAGTCAGTAGTACAACTTGACATTTAGACGAGTTTAATGCTTTTAGTTCTAAAGCTCTCTAAGCAACTTACCTGAGATGGTAGGATTTATTGAAACAAATATTCCAGTCAATATAGCTCAATTAATTCACCACGATATCCAAGCCCCACCACTATACATCGAGGTAATAGCTGGAGGTGGGTAGCAAACATGCAAATCCCTTACAAATAATTATAATAATCACATCTCAAACACATTTCTAATACAACAGTAATAATAAAACTTACTTGTATCGATGATATAATAAGAAGAATTGATATAATTACCAATCGAACATCAACTTTTGTCGAAACACGACGTCGATAATACCGATAGTAATGATAGTACATTTGATCTGGATTATCAAGCATATAATCGTATTCTGTTCGTTGTTCTGGATCACTAAGAATCTGAAATAATAGGGGAAAAATGATTTTTTTTTAATAAACAAGTGGAAAATATTCATTATATTCCGTAAGTTACTTATGGTTTAAGTTGAAATAATATGAATGTAAATCATATTAACTTAATGATGCTTTGAATATTTCACTATTGTGAGTACAGTTGAGATGAGGTTTTGGGTATTTCATGAAGATGGTTAATTAGTTGGTGATAATATAAACCTTTTGTTGATTAAAGCCCGTTTAATATGTCGTATACATCACATGATTCCAAGAAGTCAGAAACTTGTGAGTGGAAACAACCGTATTCTATGAGAAAAAGACTTTAGGTATCATGCGTCGAAATCGGTTGCAGTGAATCAGATGTACTCATGAAGGTATAAATGTAAACATTTTGATGTTCCAAAATGATAGAAGAATCGTGAGACAGACTTTTGAAGAGCATAAACTACGATATCATCATACAGCGTTTAAGTTTGTTCTTGCCACATATTGATATTAGTTAGGGAACAATGGGAAAACAGAAACTAACAGAACGTTGTTTTGTTTTGGTTTAACTCTCTTCGGGAGTGGATATCCATAACTTAGGCCAAAGATGCAGTAGCAAACATGTTGACTTTAGACCAGGAAGTTGGAATTCAATGGGCCATATTCCCAAATTCAACTAATCGGTGTTACACAACGCGACATCGTCAAGTATCACTCGCTTCTAAATGTTTCACTCTTAACATGGTTGGAGTTCAAAGATCCTTTAAACAATTCAGTGCTTCTTTAGATTAGCAAAGTTTAAATATAATTTTTTAAATTACTTATTAAACATACCTCATAGGCAGTGTTGATTAAACGGAAGCGTTCTTCCGCTTTTATTTTATCCTCAGATGTTTTCTGTCTATCTGGATGATGTTTTCTTGCCATTTCATGATATGCTTTACGAATTCGATTTTTATCATCATCTCGGGTAACCTGTAAAACTGACATTTTTCCCCCCCAAAAAAACAGACGAAATTAAATCTCAGATGCGCTAATATAATATGGATATCAAAAACTGAGATAATTTTAAGTCTGACAAGCTGATAAGCGTTATCTGATACCTTAATACAATTTAGCAACATAGTATAGACTTGAATACTAGACACTGACTTACACCTCTTAGTGAGAAAGCTAGTGATATTACCCAACCAGTCAGATGGTGCGGGATTCGAACAAGTAACTCAATGGTTGTACGTTACATGTCTTAAATACTGAGCAACCATTATTTTTAAAAAGGTTAATTTTGATTGAATATACCAATACCTAACACTGTGAAATCCGGAAAAATATTAATACCGTGGAATAAACGTAAACGCTGTTTATTACTGCTATGACCTTGAATCGCTTTTACCCTATGATACTTCTTATGACTTCACCTTGATCTGTCTAGACTAAATTATGACCTTGACGCGTTAGGCTGAGTGGCTTAACCTTGAGTCCAATACGCGTGAGTTCGAGTTGGGGTAGAGAGAACTATTCTAAATCCTGATTGGTTGGCGAGCACGCAAGTGAAAGAAGACAAGACGGTTGGAACACTGAACTCTGGATTCTCTGAATTCAGATTAGTACAAAAATGTACATGAATAAATAAGTGAATATCTTGACCACGACGTACGATAAATTGGAAAAATACAGTTATGCCCGAAACAGGGAATTAGGGTAGAAAATATAGTGCAAAATATTATGTTTAAATTACAATATTTTCGGAACAAAAAAAGGTATGCTAGTGAATGATACATAGAACGAAAGCTCGTGTTATGTAGAATAAGACAGGGACAAAAATAAATATAAGTGTTTTACAGGGTTTGAATGAAATGCAATAACGTCCCAAGAAAATAGCTTTCGTAATTGTCTGGGCTTCTTAATTCCCCGTTCATAACAATTACATTTTTGAAAAGTGTAGAAAAAGTTCGAACCCAGCACCTATCACTTTAGATCCTAGCAGAAGTTATTTATTGAGCTAATAAGTCTGACGAGTTACTAACCTGTTCAATAAGTATGAAGTTTATTTGTAAGGATTTGGTATTTTCCCACTGCTGATATTGAAAACTATGAAAAAATTATAAATACAAACCTTTACCTATTAACTTATTCCTATCTGATATACTATCACTGCTTACATAACTGACATACGAAAACTCTATAATCACATTTTTGATTACATTGATACGAAATCAATAACTCAAGAAGAAAACATTTACATTGATTGATCATTGAGTGTTTGGGTTGTACTTCATTATACTAAACAACGGATGGCAATGAGGTTAAAAACGATTGTCTGTTAAATCTACTAAACTAATTATCAATCATAAGAAATGATTTTAGAATATTGTAGTGAACGAGAACACAAGTGGGGACAATCAAATGTATTTGCATACAAAACTACAGAACATATTAGTAAAATCTGAGAAATAAACAGTAAATACTTCAGTTGCAAAATGTCAATCGTTTCAGACTTCGTTGTTCTTTAGGTTCCACACAAATCATTCCTTGTTCTCGTTCTTTTTTCTTTGATCTTCTTAGCCTTCTGCCTGAATGCATTTCACTTTCGATCGATGATACATACTACTTATATCTGTCAATATCAGTATCACACACCACAATATATGTAGAGTTTCAAAATAGGACATATTGGTTTCAATGTTACAAAATTTGATGAAATATTAAGTCTCTGATTGAGTTCACTGAAAAACTGATCTCTAATGAAATAATACCACTGACCCATTCAGGCTGTTACTGATTTATTTTATTTATTTATTTGAACACATAAATATTGGTACAAGAGGGCACCAAATATATATGCGCCATACGAAACAATGAATGGGGAGAGAAAAAAAGAAGAACAATGAAGACCAGATTAGTGTAAGGCAGTGTAATAATAATAGTGGGGGAAACGAAAAGGTAGAATCAGAAGAAATCCTTCAGTTACGGAAGATACAACCACTTTTTATGAAGAAGGTAAAAGGTTACAGCAGGATCGCCACTGGCTTCTATTCTGAGCCATATCTGATAACGTCTCTAGCCACTGTGTTGCACCATCTCTCGGACCCCAGCCAGGGAATCGTGAAGGACCAACACAAGCCAGCACTTTGCAGCTTTCTTTCATACCACGACACCATGTCATACACTGACCACCTCTTCGCTTTATCCAACCAGTCCCAGAGTCGGCAAATAATGCACGATGCGAAGTTCTCTGGGACGACATTCGTAGAACATGTCCAAGCCACCGAAGTTGATGTTTCAAGATAGTGACACTACAGTGACATTATCGTCTCTGCGCCCGAACACACGATGCCGAACCTCTGCGTTACTGACATGGTGTTGCCACTGGATGTCAGCAATCCTTCGGAGACAACGATGATCGAACACAGAGAGTCGTCTAACGTCCTCAACTCGGAGAGGCCAGGTTTCACAAGCATAGAGCAAAACTGCTCTCACCGACGCGTTGTAGATCCGGCCTTTTACAGCCAGACTGACATCACGAAGGCGCCAAAGGTGGCCCAGATTGGCATAAGCCGCTCTGGCTTTCACTATTCGTGCATTGATCTCATCACTCACACCCCCACCAGCACTTATGCAGCTACCCAGATACACGAACTTCTCAACTACGTCTATCTGCTCACCATCCAGGGTGAGTACAGGATTGGGATCCTGCCAGTCTTGTAGAAGTACTTTGCACTTCGAAGGTGCAAAGCACATACCATACCTACGGACATTGATTGCCAACTGATTAAGTGCGGATTGCATGCCTTGGGCATTATCGCACAGTAAGACAATATCGTCCGCATACTCAAGGTCGAGAAGTCTTTCTCCAGGCAACAGATCCACACCACCATTACTTACATTCATCAGAGCTGTTTCCAGAATGTCATCGATGGCAAAGTTGAAGAGGAATGGTGAGATTGGGCAACCCTGCCTAACCCCACTGCTCGAATGGAACAATGGAGAGAGGTGGTTGTATGCCCTCACTCTGCCTGAGGTGTTTTTATACAGGGCTTTTAGGATGTTAATAAACTTCTCAGGCACACCCTTCTTCAATAGACAATCCCAGAGAACAGTCCTATCCAACGAATCGAAGGCAGCCCTGATGTCAAGAAACACTACGATTGTTGGCCTGTGATAGGTATGACGATGTTCTAACATTTGGCGGAGGGTGAAGATATGATCAATACATCCTCGACCGGAATAAAACCCAGCCTGCTCCTCGCGAGTCAATCTTTCTCGGGTTTTGAACAACCTACGAAGTATGACGGAAGCCAATAGCTTGGACGCAATCGGAAGTAGACTTATCCCCCGATAGTTGTTACAGGAACGACGTGAACCCTTTTTAAAAACAGGGTTAACTATCGACTCATTCCATGACGTTGGTACACTCTCCAGCTCCCAAACCTTTGAAAAGAAAACAGTCAGTTCCTTAGTCAGAAAGTCACTACAATCTTTAAAAAGAGCCGGCGGTAAGTCATCTGGGCCAGGTGATTTGTAGCGCTTCAAGAGTTGGAGTTCGTTGCGGACTCCCGCCTCATTTGGTGGATCAGTCGTCACCGGCCATGGAGGGCAGAATAGTCTGATCGACGTTGCCGGAGCAGCAGGTCAGTTGAACTGCCCTTCGAAAAATTCTGCCCATCGTCCAAGACGTCGATGGATGTTAGTGATTGGCATCCCGTTATCCTCGCAGATTGTTTCGCTCACATGGCCTTATTTGCCATTTTGATGACGTCATGGAGTTGCAACCAATGCTCATCTATACTTTTCGGTGGAATGGTAGCTAGTCTAGAAAGCTAGCTCGGTTCGATACTTAGTTGCAACCAACTTGCTGACATCAATCCTTTGGTGGCGGTCACTTCGTTGGCCACTGAAAAGTAAGGTAAGATTGGCGCAGACCAAAGCATGGTCAGAGTCAAGATAGGTACTCTAAAAGAAGCGGCAGTCTTGTACACAACCACGCCAGCGGTAACTGACCGCGATGTGATCAATCTGAGTCCAGGTTTGAGATGCAGAGGGAGGACGCCAGGTGGCACATCGGCGATGACTGTGCCGAAAGCTAGTGCTAGCCAGAAACAGGTTGTGTTCTGTGCACAGTTGCAGTAGACGGTCCCCGTTATCTGTCCTGAGACCAACAAGTCCCTATCGGCCACCTGAACGACTCTCTTCTGTAGCTAGACGCCCGACCTGAGCATTCAAGTCTCCGGCTAGCACTACAATATCTGTCGAACGCACTTTCTGGAGAAGAACAGATAACTGGTGGTAAAACTCATCATTGATTGCATCCGGGCTGCAATCTGTCGGGGCATAGGCGGAGATGACGAAAAGACATCGTTTCTCACGCCGGTTTCTTCTCACTTTGATGGAACTCTCTAATCTAACAGCACATAGCCGACTGTTAATGGGGATCCAATCGATTAGTCCTGCCTCAGCTCTAGCGCTTAGTGCGACACCAACGCCAGCAAGACCAGACGAAGATGCCACAGGGTCCTCGGATAAGCGCATGTAAAACAAGCTTTTCGAAGCGACAGATAGAGAGCGAATTTGTAGTACTTCACCAGAGTCTTGAATACGGGTCTCGAATAGACAGCAAACATCGATATTAAGACTTTCTAAAGACATAGCAAGCCCTATCTGTTGTTCAATCTGCATAAGTGTGCGAACGTTGAAGGCAACCAGTTTGAATGGTGCACGTGGTTTCAGAAAAACTGCTTCAGTATTCGTATTTGGTGGTAACATACAATTTTCAACCTGGCAGTGACCCGAGAACGTTTAGATAGAACCGAGTTTCCACCATAGGCGAGCTGCTGTATAGGTCGAAAAATAAGGATACATAAAGTGGGAAAAAAAGAGAGTGAATAAATGACGTAGTAAATAATAACAATAATAACAATAATAATAACGTGAATCGTCTGACTATTAATCGAAGCGAGAATAGAATTTCCAGTAAATATCGTCA